GAAGGAAGGAAGGAGACAAGGAGCAAAGGAAGTGAAAAAAGAAACAGGTAGAGAAGGAAGAAAGAAGAAGGGAAAGGAGAAGGGAAAGAAATCATAGAATCATAGAATCAAAGAGTTGGAAGAGACCTCTTGGGCCATCCAGTCCAACCCCCTGCCAAGAAGCAGGAATATTGCATTCAAATCACCCCTGACAAATGGCCATCCAGCCTCTGCTTAAAAGCTTCCAAAGAAGGAGCCTCCACCACACTCCGGGGCAGAGAGTTCCACTGCTGAACGGCTCTCACGGTCAGGAAGTTCCTCCTAATGTTCAGATGGAATGTTCAAATAGACAGAAGGAAGGAAAGAGGGAGGGAAGGAAGGAGAGAATAAAAGAAGGAGAGAAAGAGGAAGGGAAGGTTGGTCACAGCAACGTGTGGTGGGTACAACTAGTACAGTAATAACACAGCAATAAGCACAGATATTTGCAGATTGGATGTAGTAATGGTCAGGCTTTCCGTCCTGAGTTTTCTTACTTCTTCTGGATTGAAAACTCCAACCCAGAGCTCTCAGGATTCCTTTCACATTCACCAAGGGCCTCTTCTTGCTTCTCCAGTTCATCAAGCCTGGCCCAGAGGTCCTCCTCCGTTTTCAGGCTCCCAGCTCCGTTTTCTTGAAGATTTGCTTCAAAAGCAAGTGTTTTTGGTTTCGAATGAGGTTTGTGAGCAGTTCTGTGTTTTCCTGGATAATTAAACACACAAACCACGCTTAAGAATACAGTTACCAAACAAACAAACTTACTCAGATTACTACTTTTGCCAACGAACCAGAGAAGTGTCTCGGGGCATCAGTTGCCTACCATTGCCCAAATACTAAAGCACAATTTTGTGCTGGAAATCAGAAAGCAATTACTGGGATATTTTGCATCCATGACACAACAGGTCTATGGGAAACAGCCTCATGGACCATCCAAGTCCTGTACTATCTGTATAGATCAAAAACAGCTCTCGAAGATTTCACCTTTCTCAGCCATAGGTAGAGAGACCAGAAACTGAATTAGGCATTTTCAGAAACCAAAAATGCACTCTACAGTTAAGAAATAGTTATATGAATGAATCCAATTTTTTTTTTAAAAAAACCTAGTAATAAAATAGAATAATTGTATCTTATATATTACATGTAATATTAGTAATAATACTGCAGTATAGTGGTATAGTAAAATATAGTAATATATAATGATAATAATAATAATAATAATAATAATAATAATAATATGCTATGCTAATAGTATAATATACTAGCCATCCCCTGCCACGTGTTGCTGTGGCCCAGTCTGTGTATATATGTTTTGTGTGTGAATATATGTGTGTACAGTTTGCATGAACCAATTGTACAGGTGTGGATGATTATGGAGGGAATTAATCTCAGGCCTCAATTGTGTATAAGAATATATTATAGAGGAGGCCAATTATTACTTGTAAATTAAGGTAACTGCCACCAACGTGAGGTATTTGAGGTACCACCGATGAGATCTGGCTTTACAGATGCAGATTAATTGAGCTGAGACAGTCTTCAACAAAAGATAACAAGTATATTGTGTACAAAGCATATGGTTGCAGGCTGTTAAATAACTTATAGAACTTTGAATATCACTTGGTTTGTAATACAGTCCACTCTTCCAAATAACACAGCTCGTGGCTAACTTTTACTGAGGTGAAGCTCTTTAGTGAACGTTTCCTACTATGAATAGCCTTCTAATTTGATCTTTCCTTGATCAAATCTCTGATCTCTAGTCCTTCCTTGACTAGGGATCTTAACAAGCTTCCTTTAGTCTTCCTTGACTAAAGAAACTGGCCAGGTTTCTCTCTTCAGCCCTTCTAGACTGAAAAACCTCCAGCTGCTCACACACACCTCTCTCCTAGGCTTTTCAAGCCTCCACACTCACACACACACACTGCCCCTTTTCCAAAGACGCACATAACTTTTCCTGCTTGGCTCCGCCCACATCTCACTCTCCTGAGCTAGCCTGCCTGGTCTCCTTGGCAACGCTCACTGTGGATTCAAACCAGATAACTCTAGTTTTAGCTATGTTACAAACACAAATATATACTCTAACAGTTAAACACATACATAGTATCAATGACTTCTGCACAATGTGTGTGTGTGTGTGTGTGTGTATGTTATTTTTATTTAAGAAGAACCTCACCTTTTATTTCAGTGCCATTACTTTCAATTACTTCTCTTATATCAACGAAGTCTCCTGCTTCCTAGTTGGAAAAATAGTGAAATAAATGAGTAAACTTAATATACTGGTTAAAGTGTTGGTATATATAGCCAACTAGCCTTAGAAGTTCAAGGTAGCAGTGATCAGTCCACTGCAAGCAAAGTATTGCGAGATCACAAACAATTCGTGAAATGAAACAAGTATCAATGCATTTATAATACTACAAAAAAACAAGAGTCCTATTAGATGCATATCGGACCCAAGGTTCATCCAAAAGGACTGGCTCTTGAGACTAACAAACACAGAAAAAACACACTGATAAACTATAATATTAGGTCAGTGTTTCTCAACCTGGAGGTTGGGACCCCTGGGGGGGGGCTCATGAGGGGGTGTCAGAGGGGTCACCAAAGACCATCAGAAAACACAGTATTTTCTGTTGGTCATGGGAGGTCTGTGTGCCAAGTTTGGTTCAATTCCATCGTTGGTGGAGCTCAGAATGCTCGTTGATTGTAGGTGAACTATAAATCCCAGTAACTACAACTCCCAAATGTCAAGGGCTATTTTCCCCAAACTCCACCAGTGTTCATATTTGGGTATATTGAGGATTCGTTCTAAATTTGGTCCAGTTCCATCATCGTTTGAGTCCACAGTGCTCTCTGGATGTAGGTGAACTACAACTCCAAAACTCCAAGTCAATGCCCACCAAACCTTCCAATTTTCTGTTAGTCATGGGAGGTCTGTGTGCCAAGTTTGATTCAATTTCATCGTTGGTGGAATCCAGAATCCTCTTTGATTGTAGGTGAACTATAAATCCCAGCAACTACAACTCCAAAATGAAAAAAAAACAACCCCCCCCCCCCCAAACCCCACAAATTTGGGTGTATTGGGTATTTGTGCCAAATTTGGTCCAGTAAAAGAGAATACATCTTGCATATCAAATGTTTACATTACGATTCACAACAGTATCAAAATTACAGTTGTGATAAATGTATGTTTGAGAGTCACCACAACATAAGGGGTCACGGCATTAGGAACGCTGAGAACCACTACTCTAGAGGTTTATATGATTTTAAAGATCTGTTTAATGGAATCTCTTCCTTAGTACAATAGTAAATCTCTTACATTGCTCATCTTCTGTAAATCTTCTGAGAATTCAACTCTGGCCTGAAAATTCTTCAAGACTTTTTGCAAATCATCCAGTGTTTTCCTGACATCTGAAACGACAAAGAATCCGAATGCAACAGGAAGCGAAGGCAAAACGAAGAATATTAACATTTTAAATGGAGCTGTTTCACACCTAAAAGGAAATGCTTGATAATTAGAAAAAGAATAATTTCTTTCCTGCCTTAGCCTTTAATACTTTTTTCAAGACGTTCACATTTATCAATTGCTGTCTTTTTTGATCACCAAAGTGCAGGCGCACGTTGCAATTGGTATAAACCTTCCCTCTTTGGGATTTGGATGCAAGATTCCAGATATTCGTAGGACTTGATGTCTACATCTAGTCAGTTCGTGGTAGAAACCTTTTTCACACATGAGGAAAGAAACTATATTGAGAGAATTTAGAGATATTAAACACTCATGGTTCCACTGCTTACAGTTAGGGGAATGGTTCAAGAATTGGATAAAAAATAATGGAGAAGGAAGCAAACTTAAGCAAGTTGAACAAATGATACAAAAAGAAAGAGCTACGGGAGGATACCACAAGATGAAAGGAATAACCAGCAAATTGTATAAGATAATAATTGATATTAAGGGGGAAAAATAAAGGATGCAATATTAAGAGAGATATGGGAGGAAGATCTAGGGATTAGAATAAAGGAAGCGGATTGGGTACAATTATGGGATCAAAGATATTTTTAAAAATTATCGATATGTGTTAAAGAAAATTATTATGAATTGGTTTGGAAATGGTACTTAACACCGGTAAAGCTTGCAAATATTAATAAGAATGCCACAAAAAATTGTTGGAGAGGTTGCCAGGAGGTGGGAACATATACACATATGTGGTGGCAATGTAAATATGTAAATGAATTTTGGGGGAAAGTATTTGGAGAAATAGAAGCTATAATGGATATGAAGATGGAAAAAGTGCAAGCATTGCATTGTTGTCACTATATAATGTTAAGAAATTTAAAAAAACAGAGAAAGATGCAATAGATAACATATTAACTGCAGCAAGATTACTGATAGCGAGGAACTGGAAAGGTAAAATAAATATACCAAATGAAGAATGGTATAAATAATAGGCTTGGGTAACAACGAAAAAATTTGTTTCTAAACTCGTTTCGTTTTTAGGGGTCCATCGCGTTTCGTTTTTTTAAAGAATTCCGAAATTTTCCTTTTAAAAATTTCGAAATTTACGAAATTTCGTATAATTACGAATCGATTCGTTAATGGCGGACGCGATTGCGCAATATGCTAAAAAAACCTCCAAATGGGACAGGGGGAACTTCTGAAGCTTCCCTCTCCCTCTGTTGTTGACTGTTGGTGTGATAAAACAAACAACAACTATAAAACTTGCACCAGACATGCGAAAATAATTACGAAATAATTACGAAATAAATTGAAAAAATTGTTTCGAATCTAATTTACTCCTCACACTATTCCTGCATGGCTCAATATTGGATCGTAAGCTAATTTAAATACGAATTAATAACGAATTACGAAATTAACGAACGAAACCGCCCAGCCTATAAATAACTATGGAAACTAGCAATAAAGGATAAATTGACATGTAGGTTAAGAGTCAGGAAAGGGGTATGGAAGGAAAACGACTTTGATGAAGTTTGCGGAAAATTTATTGAGAACGGATTAAAAGAAGTGCATGGGAAATTACCTCCAAAAGTAGAAATGGTATTTTGGAAAGAGAATGCAAACTGAAGTGGCTCAGAAGGGGAGGGGGGCACAGAGGTGAACAAAAAAAAGTATGCAAGATATATATACACTTATCATAGAATTCTTCAATACTCTTGGGTATAGTTGATGTAATGAACTGAGTATGGAATATTAGAGTATTGAAAGTACTGATATATTCTAAGAATATATATATGAAACCTTTTTCACAGCAGTTTTGCATGGAAAAGCGTACAGCAACCAGGCCACATGAAATAATGGCGCATTCATATGAGTCCCAACTACATGGGATGAAGCACACACTTAGAGGAGTCGGGCACACTGATTTCAAGGCCTTTTCACTCCCAAATTGTGCAGTTTTAGACTGATTTATTGATCCATATTGATGCCATTGGATCCCCCACATACGACCTAGCAAAATTTCTTGCTGCACAGTTACAAAGCCATATTGGGCTCACTACACACTACATCAAGGACTCAGCCCACTTCATAGAAAAAATCAGCAATCTCAAGCTAAATACAAACGACAAACTGATCAGCTTCGATGTGGTATCTCTATTTACCATGGTCCCGGTAGCAGACACCATGGCACTCATCAACCAGAGGTTCCCAGAAGACATCACGGCTCTGTTTCACCATTGCCTCACCACCAGTTACTTTCAGTGGGACAATGAATTCTACGAACAGAAAGATGGAGTAGCTATGGGGAGCCCTCTCAGCCCGGTCATAGCTAACTTCTACATGGAACACTTTGAAAAACAAGCCCTGGAAACAGCAACCAAAAAGCCCACGATATGGTTCAGATATGTGGATGACACCTTCACCATTTGGAGCCATGGAGAAGAAGAAATCAACAGGTTCCTGGACCATCTTAACAGCATCCACCCAAAAATCCAATTCACCATGGAAAAAGAAAATGAAGGAAGACTGCCTTTTCTAGATGTCCTAGTCATCCGCAAACCAGATCAACAATTGGGTCACACCGTCTACAGAAAACCCACACACACAGATAGATATCTACATAAAAACTCCAACCATCACCCAAGTCAAAAAAAGAAGCACCATTAAAGCCTTGGCAGACCGTGCAAAAAGAATCTGCGAACCCCACCTCCTCCAAGATGAACTGAACCACTTCAACTGGGCTCTCCAGGCCAATGGATACTCCACCTCAGACATCAGAAGAGCTGCAAGACCAAGAACAAGTCACGAGAGTAAAGATGAAGATCCACCCAGAGGAAAAGTGTTCCTGCCATACATCAAGGGAACCACTGACGGCATAGGGAAGCTGATGAGGAAACACAACATACAAAAAATCTACAAACCCACCAAGAAAATCCAACAAATGCTACGTTCAGCAAAGGACAAGAGGGATCCTCTCACCTCTGCAGGAGTCTACCGTATACCATGCAGCTGTGGACAAGTCTACATAGGTACCACCAAACGCAGCGCCCAGACACGCATCAAGGAACATGAAAGGCACTGCAGACTACTTCAACCAGAGAAGTCAGCCATAGCAGAGCACCTGATGAACCAACCTGGACACAGCATATTATTTGAGAACACAGAAATGCTGGACCACACTCACAACCACCATGTCAGACTACACAGAGAAGCCATTGAAATCCACAAGCATGTGGACAATTTCAACAGAAAGGAAGAAACCATGAAAATGAACAAAATCTGGCTACCAGTATTAAAAAACTCTAAAATTATAACAGCTAAACAACAGAGAGGAAAAAACCAGGCACAGATTAACACCTCCCAGCAACAGATTTCCCAGGCTTAGGCAGGCCTTCAAATGCTAATGAAGGTGATCAGCTAACATTCACACCTAACTGCAGCAGGGAAGAGCTCCTTGCCCCACCCCAGCCATTCCACAGATATATAAACCCATTTTTCCTACTTCCAACAGACCTCACGACCTCTGAGGATGCTTGCCATAGATGCAGGCGAAACGTCAGGAGAGAATGCCTCT